TTTAGAAGCAGACCCACCTCAATACTAACGCAAATTTCTCGACCGGGTCAGGCCCGCTGATAGTCAAGAAACTGTGGCCTTGACCATCATGTGTTTTCCAATTTTTCGCGCGAATAGTTTTTGCTGCCGTTCAAGAAGCCGTGGAATCTTAAACAATTCTTATATTATTACTCAGCTGTTTAAATCCACATTGAACTGTTCGTATGTGAATGAATTTCCGAAAAAAAACATTTCCGTTCGATCAAGGTTCGATCGCGCGCTTCAGCAAGTAAAACCGAAGATTTTACCCAGACCGGAGAATTTTCTTTCTACCGTCAATCGTATTTTCATATCATTTGGCCAAGTTCTGTGTAATTTATGGAGATGAAATTCTACAACTGGATTTTTGAAAGCAATAACTACAAACCAACATATGGCTCATTCCAAAAGGATCCTAAACAGTCTATCTTACCTACCAGAATGTTTGCACTTTTGTGTTCAGTCTTCGCTAGGCCTCAACCGAACAATTTCCAATTTCAGCGATAAAGGCGACTCAGTTCCTTTTCAAGAACTAGCGCTAAAATCTTTCCGAACGAATGGAAAGAGATGAAGGTAAAGTAAATGTATATATCAAGAAAGTACTCCTTTGCACATGGGCTTTTGGGCTTGCGGTTCTTTGTGAAATCGATCAATGGAAAACCTCCCCTGGTCTTTTGTTGACATTTGACATCATATTGTGACGTCACTGACAGATCTTCAAGCACCAACCCACCGAATCCATGGGCGATATTGTTCGTTTGGCTTTGGCTACATTCATTCACGCGCGAATCGCGATTTATGAGTTACCTTCAAATATATCGTTATTCATTCCAGCGAAATGATTTATCACTTGTAAACTGTATTAACGCTTTGGTAAAATTTTGAATTAAACGGAAGCGCCTGATAATCTTGTGATTTTATTCCGAATGTCACTTCTGGTTTTCGTCCGCAATGCACGGCTCATTGGAAATTACTCTCTTTCTTTTGAGGCATGACCAGTTTAAAAATTGGGCTAGGTAAGACAAAGAAGGAAAGCAATATAAAGTACATAACTTGCTGCATTATATTTTACTGCTGAAAAAGGCTTCTTTTTAGCGCACTTCCGGTTAAGAGGGCGGACTTCAATCGTGCTTTTCAGCTTGGAATGTTGAGGTCAGAAAACGGTTAAAGTTGTCTTGAGGCAATCGAACGTGCTTTCATAAAAAAGCGAGAATTACGGAGAGTGAGTACATGTTTCTCGATTCGCAGAACACACGAGAATGAAACATAATACCGCTTTCTGACGGCAGAAAGTATGAATAATGCAAAAGTCGAGGTATGAATATGAGATTAGTGATGTTTTGGCACATCAGAAAAGCTCTTTGTTTCCATCAAGGATAGAGATTGGTTCGTGACATCTGCCTGTCTGCGTTTCGTTTATGTTTCAGTTTACAGTGTTTGGAATCAAAGTATACTGCGAAATCTGAAATCCTGACTAACTTATCACTGTTCTAATTTTGGAAAAACAACTAAAATTTTGAAATCATAGACAAAGTTAGGCAAAGACTCGACTGAAAGACGGAATTCGCTTCAACTCGTTCGAAGTTGAGGTTGAACAAACAAATTAGCATGCAATCGATGCGTAACAGCGCATCCGCTTCTATGATCACCCATCATACTCAGTTCCTTTCAACAACTTTGTCATTGTTCTATCTTTTTACTATCTCGAAGCAATATTCACATGAATACTTTTCGACTTGAGAAAAAGAAAATGAAAAACACTGAAAGCCTATCCGGAGCTAAAATTAGAACACTTATTGCCATCTCGATAGTATAACGTCATCTTTATCACATGATAGGGTGTGTGCTAAAGCACAACGCTGATTGGCTGTTGCTATGACGTTACTTACGTCAAGAATAATCTGATTGGTTCTTTCAGTAAGCATAATAGGGCAAGAGACTTTCCTTTGATTCATTTGAGTTGGGTGAAATTGGCGTCTGTTCATGGGGGACGAGTTGTGAAAGAAAACTGTGTCATAAGCCTTCGCATTCAAGGCTTTGAGGAGATAATAAGAGGTATCTGAAGAGAAATCTCTTACCTGGATAGGAAGCTCAAATTATATCAGAATAAGAGAGGAATAAACGACGAGTAAACGATCTAAGAATCAGCAAATTTGTTAACGATGACGTTCGGAGCTCAAGTGCCACCAAGCCATCGAATTTCGAATAAAGACAGCTTTCATCGCAAAAATAAAGCCAAAAAGGCTCCAAGATTTCGGAACGATCGCTGTGTGAGAGCAAAACAAGTCCATCAGGATCCGACATCGACTGCCTTCGATGAGGAACTTTCCACCTCTGTTAGCATTCCACGTCGACGCCGAAGCGAAAACAGAGTTGACTCGGCGGTAAATATTCCGTATGCGGGAGCAAAATTTAGCAGCCCACCACCTCCGAGCGATCTGCCGAGACCACCATCGCACTGGATAAGTTCTCCTATCCACAAATTCGACATGGACGTAGTAGCGATGTCACAACATCTTCGTATGTTACTCGGAGTCGAGTCGTAACTACAATAGCAAGACCTATAAAAGCGAAAGTGAACGAGGAAAGGACGCGATTTCTAGTGTATATAAAAAGACATTTAGGACAAATTTGTAGATTTTGTACAAATTTGTATATTTGTAAATAAGTAAGAAAAGAATTCGTATGCTACTATTTTCAAATTGTAATTATATCAAACGTAAAAAGCTTTATACGCCTAGGCGATAGTGAACGTGTTTACTTAGGAATTCTTTTCGCTTTTTTTATTTCATCGTAGGTTGTTTGTACATGTTGACTTAGCTTGATTCGTTTTTGAACAAAAGGTATACAACCAGAAATCTCGTTAGGTCTAGCAAGATGTTAGTGTAAAACAAATGTGTAGTGTTTGAATTTTTTGTTTAAGATAGAAACTAGAATTAGAAAATTATGGACAGTGACGATATTGCTTAACATCACAGAACTAAGAATAGGACATAGAATACTGAAAACACAGACCGTTGAAGTTGACGAAGAAATTGTGCGAAGATAGTACAGCAACCATCATCATCATATCATCATCATCCAGTGACAAAAACCGCATTTGAGGAAGTTTGGAGGTGCCAGCAAATGGAAGTATCTCCTTCCCAAAAGCACACGGTGGACAAAAAGACAAGATCAAGACATGAAGTAATGTAGAGAACACAGCTAATTAGAAGACCTAACAGACAAGTAGCAAGACAAAGAAGACACAAGACAGATCGACCACAACACACCGGCCCTCTTCAGGGCCACCCAAATCTTCAAAAGTCTATAACCAACATCAGATAAAATTGACTGTGTGAAGACAACTTGTCAAAGCACAGTATTTCTATTCTCTCTCTCTCTAAACCCTTTCCTTTCCCCCTAAGTTCCATTAATTTTATAGTTCGCCCTGATGATTTTCCAAGAGATCTGATCTTAACTCCCCCCGCCACATCCAGCTTGGAAAAATGAGTTCAAATGCAAAGAGGATTTTTTTAAAAAAAGAAAATAAAGAAAACATGCATTGTAGTTGCACGGGGGGAGAGAGTTTATCATTTTTTCTTACCTGTCTCTCTCTAAACCCATTCCTTTCCCCCTAAGTTCCAGTAATTTTATTGTTTGCCCTGATGATTTTCTAAGAGATCTGGCCTTAACTCACCCCAACCCATCCAGCATGGGAAAATGAGTTCAAATGCGAAGAGGATTTTTTAAAAAAAGTAAATAAAGAAAACATGCATTGCAGTTGCACGCGGGGTAGAGGGCAGGGTGAGTTTATCATTTTTCTGGGAAATTTATTATTATCACAATGTGGTGAAGGGGAAAAACCCTAACCGGATGTTGAATGAATCTAGAAATGTGATTGGCTCCTCAAAACTCGTGATATAAACCACTTCAGGAAATGTTTACCACTGAAATATCAAATATCCTTATATGGAAATGTCGTTTCCTGTTGATATTTCTTAGACTGGAGTTTGGATTGGAGTTTTGAGAACTCTGCTTTGGAAATGTTCGCAAATAAAAACAGGGACTTAGCAGACAGAAGTATTCTTGCATCTTGTGATATGCAATTTAATTGCAGAAAGGACAAAACAAATTCCTAAAAAATAAGTCTTATGAAACCCAGTGAGTGGGTCTATCTAGCCATCAACAGTGAAGAGAATTGGGTCTTGCACGAAGGTGAAAAGTTGGTCCAAGTGTCCTTGAAAGCTGTGAAGCACATAACCTTTGTGGGAATAAAGCTAAAAGAAGAGCAACTGGTACAGTTATTAAACAGAGTTTTCTCTTTTAAAACTGTTTGTTATAAAAATAAACGCCACGTTTGCAAGACTAAGGGTCACATCAGTGAACTTTACCATTTTGGATCAATTTCTAACATGTTCAGCAATTGTCTGGGGATATAATTATACTGCACTGCGTGAGAGGTCATCTTGAAAAACCAATACCATGATACTTCACCCCATTTTCTTATGGAATTAAATGCCAATCCTATATCAGAAAACAATCCAATTATTTTGTTAAAAGCTGTATCCCACAATTCAGCAAGGACACAATGCCAAATACATACTTTCATGTATTTGTCTTTACTAAAGCCTAAATTATAATTGTATCAAGTAACTTGTAAAGGGAAAGTTCTGCATTCCACTCTCAAACACAGAAAACTAAAAATCACACCACAGAAATATACTTGACGTGTTGGTTATAAAGTGTATTTCCAGTTCAAAAATCACAATAAAATATTTTGTTACACTTTGTTGGTACTTATACAAAAATAGATGTACTAAAAACATGAATCATGTATTTATTTACAACACTTGGACTTGACTTTATTTACGACATGATAAAAGGCCTTCGTTGAATGCTTTGTCACAGCTTAAATAAATTTTGCACTCATAACCTACTTGGAATATAAAGATATAAAGTCAACTATTTTTTACAGTACTGATACTTAAAATGGGACACTTGTAAGAAGATTGTCCAATCAATTTTTTCTGAAAAAAAAAAAACCTATCAAATTTTTTGGCAAGCGGACCAATAAAACTCAAGGTTCAACTATGCAACCAATAAAAACTTAAAAACCATTTGAACTTACCTACCCTTTCAGGAAACAGCTCTCAAATTTATCAATGTTATTGGTCCATTTGCAGAAAACTTGAGAATCTTTTGTTCTCAGAAAATATTATGATTTGACAATCTTCTTTCAAATGTTCCGGTTTGAGTGTCCACACTGTAACAGAGAACAATATGAGACTCCGACACCTGAGATGCCACTTTACAGGCAACTGACAAAGACTTAACCACAACAGATAAACTGCATCAAAGTGAGCTGGTTTGTATGGTGACTGACAACCATCACACTTGATAAACCTTTATCCTCCAATGGGCATTATATATTAGTGTAACTATGTTATCTTGCAACTTTCTATTAAAAGTAAAAGACTGGTCTGGCCATTATTACAGAACTCCTTCACACAGAAAAATTGAAAGCATCCTTGAAGTTCAGAGGGCACAGCTGTACAAAGGTAATAATGATTAATAATGTATCAGCATCTCAGGTTTAGCATTTACATTGCTTGTAAGCTACATTGTTGGTTTGTTTATGCCTCCACAAGCAACTGTCAAGAGACAAGAACAGCTTCGTAAACACTAAAGGCCATGAAAGAGAGAAACCTCTGCTCACAAGGTACCTCAGGTCAGACTTGACAGACATCAATGATTTTGACCACCCATGAGTAGGGCTGACACTAAGATTTCAACTTGTCAGGTTTTTAGCTGATAAGTGATGCGAACATCTTTGTAAACGCTAAAAGCCATGCAAGAGAGAAAGCTCTTCTCACAGGGTATCTCAGGTCAGAGTTGACAAGCATTTTGACCACCCATTAGAAGGGCTGACACAAAGATTTCAAGTTACCCAATATATGCAATAATTGCCAGACAAGGAATTGAACATCAAGGGAAGTTCTTTAGGTTTCATTTTCCTCTCACTTTCTATGAACTCAAAATACTGTAGCCAGGGGTCATGTTCACAGCAGCAGGGAAACTCCGGACCCGGGCTTTAATGACAGCTCTGCATTAGTTTTGCTACAATGGTTACCAGTACTAGTTCTTTTGTAAGTTGCGCCATTTATCCTTTAAATGTACTGATGTCCTTCCAACAAAGTTGTATGCATCTAGAATTACTGCCCAGTTGCCTTCTCCATAGGTTTTCACTCCATCTTTTAACCATTTTGTTTCCTTGTCAGTCCAGAACCTTCGCCTCTCTCTAACAGGAAGTTTCACATTGAGAACCCTTTTTCTTGGGCTTGACAGTTCTGTAGAAGAAGCATCATAGAAGTTAGTGACTTGTAGACAATCAAAAATGTTTGCCAAACATGGGTTTTTAGAGATTTCACTTTGACCCACATAAATATATAGTATAATGCCTAACATAAAAAAGAATAACTTATTTAACTTAAAATATGCAACTATAAAACAAGTAAAGACAATGTTGTTATTATAATTAAAATAATAATATTATTATTATAATCATTATTATTATAAATATTATTATTGAACATGATTACATAGTCAACATATCACATGTAGGCCAAATGTTTCTTGACTTGAATTCCTGAGAACTGTAACAAAGTTCAGAAAAAGAAGAAGAAAATAAACAGAATCTTGTGTTTACATTTTGTACACTTCACTGTAATACAATGACAGCAACAAAATGTACAAAAACGTGATGCACTAAAAGAGTTGTTGTTTTGCTTGCTTTTCTGATGTTCTCTTTGCCATCATAGAGCGGTTTTCACTTGACTGTCGAAAGTAATTGGTTTTGGTTTTGGTTTTGGTTTTACTACGCCCTTTGGTTGGCTAGTGTATTTACTTTGGTTTTGGTTTTACGACAGTCAAGTGAAAACCGCTCTAATCTCCCTAATGGCTTTCCTGCGAGAACTGCTTTCTCCAGACTGATGCTACGCTACAAAGGAAGAAAAACCACTGTGGGCACCCATTTGCTTTTCCATCGAGCATGCGTGTCCACATGATGCCTACGTTAAACTGTCAAATCACATCACTTCCTCTTGTTTTGCAAGAAACATTAGAGACTTTATAAGATCAATGATGTAAGAGCAATGAGAACATTAAAAAAAAACTAATAGGTTTAATAGGCAAAACAGCAACTTTGCATGTGCATCACACACTTTTTGTTTATTTCTTTGCAGTTTTGCACAACTACGTCATGAAGAAAATCCCTAATTTTGTGTTTTACAGAGAATGTAAATAAGCAACAACAAAATTCTATTTTTTTTTTTCTGAACTTGGATATGGTTCCTAGCAATTCAACTCCAGTTGGCCTCACCGATATTTGTCAAAGTGAGTGGGTAGGAATAATCGCGATTAAGACTGAAAGATCACAAATTCACAGCAGGTGCTCACATTAAGGCAGCAGTTATAGCATAGTCAAATGTGCGAGAGCCTTACTGGTTTTAAACAGGTTTTGGCTCGTCAAAGTTTATTTAACATTCATCCCGGGTGCTGGATGGCAGCTCGATCAAAGAAGCAAAGGGTTGCTTACAGTGGTTTCTCTCCCTTTGTAGCGTAGTGTCCAGCCGGGAGAAAACACTGCTTGTGGGGTACCTACAGTGTAATAGCAGTACAATTATTGTACTTTATACGTCTTGCCCAAAGCACTGTGACAGTACAATATTTTTATGCCACTTCAAGGAGGAATGATAAATTAAAGCAACTGCCTGACGTTTACCAGTAAAAGAACAGTTTATTTGTCCTCTGTTACACAGGAACTCTTTCAGAGGATGGGTAGCTTGCAACTAAACTATACACAGGGTTGTCAGAACAGCAACAAGAAGATTTATTCCAAATATGAAGGTAGTTTCCACCAAGTAAAACTGGTCAACTGCACGTAACTCGATAATCTTACATAACCTCCACTAACTTGAATAAACACTGCTACCATCACACTTGACTAAACTCGACCAACATTAAACTCTCTTTACTTGTGAAAACTAGTTAAAACTTTGCTTGGACTCGTCTACTTATATACTTTTGCAATAAGATTCTAGAACTTTCGAAATAGTCTAGTTACAGAAAGATTACAAAATATACCGCTTCAGAAACACTTACATAAGGTCCTAAAATAAATAAACTATGAACTCGCAGGAAGCTTCAAGAATGTCACGCTAGTCACGCAAGACAATTTTTTATAACACCCTCTCATTATAAATTAATTTTTATTGACTCCACTTACTGATTGTCTTCCGTTTTATCTCTGTTTCATCAAAATCATCATCTGAATCTGAATCCCAGTCCAATATCTCGGCATCACTTTGATGTTCATTAAATCGCCTTTTTGCTGACCTGCTCTCTATAGGTCTTTTCCCTTTTTTATCTGGTTCTTGTCCACTAGCACTAGAATAATATTTTAATAACAACCAAATCAACATCAATCAAACTTTAAAATAAGGCTTCCTCCCACAAAAAAACTTTGAGTACTGAAAGAAGAAAATTATTCTTAAGACTAGAACAAGACCCTAATATTTTCCACGGTTGTCATTAAGAGCCAGGGGCCGGGGATTTTCTCCGGCTACTAAGAGAGTGGCCCCTGGCTACTTTTATTGGAAAATAGAAGAAAAATAGAACCAAAAGAAATCCCTAACCGTGAGATTCCCTGCCTACTTGTTGTATTTGCCCGGCAACTCGAAATCTTAGTGACAACCCTGATTTCCTTTTTCATTATTCAAGATCATGAATGATTAAGGTTAGGAAAGAAACTGAGAGTCAAAGTAGGTTGAAACTTTTTGAGCTGAATTTCATTTGACATACAACATTATTGACATAACAGTAACACAATACATCTGCCCCAGATTTTAAAAGATATATATAAAAAAGAGAATAATTTCTTATTGAAACTAACCTGTCTGGTTCAGCAACGACTGCCTTACAATGTCTTTTGACTGGGATATCATTTGTGTCATTGTCATTATTATTTTCACTGTTAACTTTACTGGGTCCTGCTTCTCCAGCCACCATATTTGAGTATACATCTTTTAGACCAGAACTGTGATATAAAAACAAAACAAAAGAATGAAGTATAGTTAAAGTCAAGCCAAGTCAAGCGTACCTCAACAAAGATTCTATTAATGAATTGGTTATTTGAAAAATAAATCTGTTAGACTTTTCCATAACTTTTCCTTCTAACTTACAAAAGGTTTCTTGAAGAACTCTTTAACCTCTGCATGGCTTCATCACACCTCTCAATATTTACCGCTACATTGGACTTCTTACGACCACTTGGTTCTGCTCTGCTTCTAGTTTCCTTTTGGAAAACAAAAATATTAACACCAGACCATGAGAGTTCTGAATAGCCATTGTCTCTGTTTTTTCCTGTGATAGCTAGGTTTGCACCACTAGAGTTTTCTAGGGTGAAAATATGAAACTTCTAGGGCTAAGGACTTGAACACTTGACTGTTCAGCTGGAACACCTTTATTTAACCCTTATATCCAGGACTCAAAAAAGAAATTGAATTCCAGCTCACCATTTGGGTAAGTATATCTCTCATATTTTGATTACCCAAAGACACTTCTTGCTCATCTTAGTTAATGATTTTGTAAGAGGATGACTTGCCTGGACCCACCCTTGCCCAAGGATTTCAATAAGCACCGACGGCCGACGAAACACGTCGGCTACTTTGCTCATAGAGGTCGGCTACTTTTTTCTAGAAAGAAGAAGAAACTAGTTTGAATAGCGTTGTAAACGAAAAATATATCATAAAATCTGAATGAAAACGCAATTATGTGTTTTCATAATATAAAGGCCCACTGGTTTTACATTATGCGTTAGTTATGTGATTACTGCATTTCAGTCATTTTTTCACAAGTTTCTTTATAGGTTTAAAAAAGATCGTAATTTAGTTCATTTGTTTGCTGCTTGCACAAATTGATTGTGTGACTGATAAATATCGGAAGCTACATTTTCTTGAATGAAAACACACTCTTCTGTCCTCAATTTTAGTCCCCAAAATGCTAAAAATCGCATTTTAGGGCTTTGAAGTTTCAAAATATTCTGGGGCAGAACACACTCAGACCCCCTCATCACCCCACCCCCATAGAAAAAGGGCACTAACGGCCCCTTGTTGATACAGTCGATTACTTTATTTAAACCTGCTGCCTACTTCAATTATTATTGAAACCCCTGCTTGCCCATTGGACAAGTAAGCTGTCAAAGTTACTTGCCCAATAAGAAAATTAACTTGTCCCTGACTACTGGACAGAACGTTATTTGAGCCCTGGTATCCCTTGAACAATATTCAACTTATCCTTACAGAACACTGCTCAATGGTTACCCTTAGGTGCAACCCAGAATGTGTAAATCAGTTTCCTAGCCAAGTAAACTAAAAAGCCTTTATTGCTATGCCTGCATTGCAGACATTATAATCAATGCTGAGATTTGGATGTAATTTCATGAATTTTGCAAGCTTCATCCTATGCCTTTTTCATGCTATATTAATATAAAATTCTGGGTGTTTTCTGAGAGTAGAAAAAAATGACCAATATTGGTTAATTTCAAGAGTTTCAAGGAGCAGCCTGCAAGCAAAGCCTTTTTTTGTCTTCTTGAGCGAAGAGGAGCAAAGGAGGCTCTGCCTGAATCAAGACAAACCTTTGAGGTCACAGCGGCCCAAACTTCTGGACTAGCCAGTCTTGTTCTCTTTTGTCGAATTGTTTTTTTTTCCAAGTGCGAACATCTGTTCATTGATAAACCAATGGTCATAACCAAGCCCCCAGTAACAAGCACACAGCTGTTAAGCCTGGGTTAGAACCTGTATCCTACCAACATGCCACGCATGTTCAAAAAAGATCTTACCCGGTACTCAATTCATGCAGAGTCTTCCTCAAGTACGCCGAAAGCGAGCAAGTGAAAGAATGACTCTTCTGGCAGGGTGTTCAAAGATATGGCTATCATGCAAACATTTCCAGCACCCTCATTACCTGTCTAAGTTGCCTTACTGAAGGACTCTTGTCTTTGTTGCTGTTGCTGGTAGTGGTATCTTGAGTATGTCTGCTGCTTCTCTTACTTTTTAAGGCTATAATATCAGGGTGTGTTCCCTCCAGAGTATCTGTCCAGTTTTTTTCAGCCTCTTCTGATTCATCCCAAGCAAAGTATAGATTTTTAATAGTTATAGCATCAACTCTGGACCTACAAAAATTATAAAAGTTCTGTGATTACTCCTTAGATCCTCTAATTTAACCTGCACATTACCAAACACATTGGAAAACTCATAATCCAAAACAAGCTCAATGTCAACTGACCAGCCCAACCTGCAGTCAAAATGTTTCACAGTTGTAGGTAGTATAATCAGAGTGGTAGTTAGCAAAGGCCTTGAGATTGATTTGTTTGGTTTTTATTCAGTATTACTAAGGCTTAGTAATGTTGAGTAGCCAGCAAATATTTCACTGAAAGCTTCAAAATTACCAGTTCCTTGCTTATTAGCCAAACTGTGAAGTTTCCCACTTACCAACTAAATTTTGTGGATGCTATAATATTATTATAATGACAAGATGTCTGTGTTCAATAATGTAATTCACAACTTGGCAAATGCTCTTCAAATCATACCTTTCTCCATTTGTATTCTCTAAAAATGAAGCCTAGAAAACATAAAAGGTATCTTGTGTGAGTTTATAGATCTAGGGCTGTGCTCTAAAAGAGCCCGATGGTCCCAGGTGACGAACTTATGCTCTCAGGTGACTACAAAATCTAACTTTTTTCATACAAACCCTATGTTGGGCACCCTAGATTTTACTTTCAGAGCACTGGGCTCCCTTCAATTTCCCTTAGAGCACAGCCTTGTCTCTTATATACCACTGTGATTATTTTAGACATTGTATTTTAAGGGAAACAAAAATCTTATCAAGAGTATTTTTGGTGATTGCGTCCAGACTGACCAAGGAGGGGTAGGGCAGGGTAACAGAATCTTGTCGCATCTTGTTTACTGTGAGATATCGAGATACCGATATATCGGTCGACCGAGATATCGGTCGATATAGCGGTCGATATAGCGGTCGACACTCGGTCGATAGTCGGTCGACACTCGGTCGACAGTCGGTCGATACTCGGTCGACACTCGGTCGATACTCGGTCGACGTTCAGTCGACAGTCGGTCAATATAGCGGTTGATAGTCGGTCGATAGTCAGTCGATAGTTGGTCGATAGTGGGTCGACACTCGGTCGAGACACGGTCGGTAGTCGTTCCAGATGTGTCTCGGCCGATATAGCTTTTCGTTCACCGACACTTCGCCGACTTTTCGCCGACACTTCGCCGATAGTTGGTCGATACTTGACCGATGTATCAGTCAGTAATTGGTCGACACTCCGTCGATGGTCGGTCGACACTTAGCATTTCCTACATTTTTTAGCTTGGAAAACAAGGAATTAGAAAGCATTTTCTAGCTTGGACCTAACTGTTTTTTTAAATTGTGTTTCTGCTTTTTTAATTTCAAACTTCAATGTACTTAGCCAAAATTCCGGATTAATAGCTATTAGTCATTTATCTAGCCTTTTCTTTTAATTCATGTGAACGGGATTTAGCCTATCTGTATCGATGCCCACCACCTTTTCGCAGACGTTTCCTCCCCTCGTTTTTTTTTTCAGGGGTGGGAGTCTCGCTACGCGTAGCCGGCTAGAATTGAATCATGAAGAAGTCCGCTAAGTGAGAATGATAGGCCTTCAGCTTCTTGTTATGTGATTTATTCCCACCGTGTAAGGCCTATATCTGGCTGATTTTTCCTATGCCGAGAATTTTTCAACCGACTCAGAACTACATTGATGAAAAAATGTATTTACAGTTCATTTTTTTAAACTTGTTTTTCCTTAACAAGTTAAGATAATATTAATGTTAACGCGGCGCATACTGTTTTCCTTTTCGTGGATGACCAAAAGTGACTTACCATTCAATATTAATTTCTGTATACGCATGGTCGTCTCTATTTTGAACAAAATATAAATATAAAGCGAAAGGACAGAGCAAAAGGACAGGATAATGTAATGAGAACGTAGCGTATCCCACAATAAATGAATGTGTTCAGTCTGCTGGATATTTTTGTCACCTTCCTCGGCACATTATCAGCGCGTTTTATCAATAACTGATCATTAAACAAAGGACTGTTCCCGTCTTCAATACAGAAATATATAAGTTTAATTTGTGGTCTCTGCACAAGCGAGAACTTGGCGTGATGAAGCAGGTCAAAGCCCGATAATAAAAGATGTGTATTCCTCGCTCTTAAAGCATGTCATGAACAGTAATTAATGACGTCTTTGCTGAAAAAAAAAGCCATTGGACTCACCTGATAAATTAACACACGACTGATATTCGAACGACAGTTAACCGATATACCACCGACAGTTGATCGATATACCACCGACAGTTCACCGATATACCACCGACAGTTGACTGATATACCACTGACAGTTGACCGATATATCACCGACATATGACCGATAGCAAGTCGAGGTGCGTCGTCGAAATATCGACCGATACTCAGTCGATAGTCTATCTCACTATCGACCGACTATCGACCGACTATCGACCGACTATTGACCGACCATCGACCGACTATCGACCGACCATCGACCGACTATCGACCGACTATCGACCGACTGTCGACCAACTATCGACCGACTGTCGACCGCTATATCGACCGCTATGTCGACCGATATCTCGGTCGACATTACCCACAGTAAACAAGATCCATCTTGTCTACAACAGAACAGTTCCACTGCACAGATGTCATCATAATGGGCCCAGTTGATTGAAGGCCAATTATCCCTAACCTGGGATTTCTGGAGTGTCTTTTTTATCCAGCCAATCATGAAATTGTAGGTAAGAGGGATTAACCTGAATTCGCACTGTAAGTGTTTAGGTCTGAAATCAGATTTCATGCTAACTATTGGTTATCTTACACTTGCTTTGAACAATTTTACCTAAACGTGATGTGCTCTATATCAATATTATTACTACAGAAATGAGTAATAATATTTTACTTAATATCAAATATTACTAAAAACTGAATCATTGGATAATGCAATTTTAGAGCACTGATTGGCTTAGCTGTCATGGTGTATGAGCCATTATACCATGCTCTCCAAATATGGTAACTGTATCCATCTGCTCAAAATTAAAAACAAGCTGAAAATCGGTTGTTTTCACAAATAACACCGGGAAGAATTCTAGATATTTTGTGGGCGTTTTTAGTAAAAAATACTCGCGTTTGTTGGATATGAGATGATTATAGCCAACTCCGCTCTAAGCACCTCGTTGGCTATCTACCATCTGATATCCAATATGCACTCATGGAATAATTGTTAAATATACAGTGGAACCTCTCCTTTGGGACACCTCTATTCAAGAGACACCTTCAATCAGGGGACACAAACTTTGTTCCCAGAAAAACATCCACATAATCTTTGTATCTGTTACCTCTATTGAAGGGACACCTCTATTCAGTCCAGAGGGTGTCCCCTGAATAGAGGTTCCACTGTACATAACAGGAATGATAAAACCATACAGCTGATTACTTGAAGTACTTTGAATTTCATGCTAATGTTTTAAAAATAGTTTGTCACCTCTTCTAAGACTGGTGCCTCAAACTTTTTCCACACTGGCATAAAAAACTGTTTAACTTGGTTGAGGAATCTGTCATATGTATGTTTTCTTAAGAACAATTTCTTCCATGAGTCATTTTCAGATTGAAATAATTCTCTGATCTCGTCTTGATATTCCTGTTAACAACAAAAATGACAATAAAGAACAAGTGACTCGAAATTGTTGCTTCCATATGTGTACATGATTGTTTTACTGATAAGTGCAAAGTCTCATGCATGTATGCGCAAATGCATTCCACATGCACAATCTTGTTTGAACCACCTCTATAACATTGACTATGACAATGAAATTGTGGTTTTGATTGGAGAGATCAGAAGAGGTTAACTTGCATGAGTGGCATCAAAAGGGAAAATTTCATGGCTGTATTACAAAAACGACTATTATCCTGTTTATCACGAACTTTGATCCAAGGAGCCTTTGCTGCATTTTTTAGGCATTTTTGTAATGAAATTTGCACTTGCATTTTTTAGTTTCAAAGGCATTGTAATGCTACTTTGACAACGGTGAACACAGGGAATTTCACAGCCTGAGTGAAACAATGATGTACTTGTATACCATGTTTGTGATGCAGATAATAACAAAATCTAAATTAAGGTAGTCTGAAAAGTGACATAAGCATCCTAAAAATACCTCGTCATCACCGTCATCACTGTACAAAACTGAGTACAACTGTTCACCTCCTTTCATGTCACCATGGGTAAAGTGTGATAAGATGATCTGTAATTCCAAGAGAAAAAAATTAAAGAATCTAAAAAGTGAACAATTCTAAATAGGGACAAAACCATTGTATTTTTGTGAGTTATTAATTTTCTCACAAATTTACGTTACTGTTTGAATTTAACAGCATTTTCTAAGATTTCAAGTTACCGGCTATTACCCTGCAGAACAGGCATTTATTTTTCCAGTTTTTTCAGGCAAGCAAGGTTAAGCATGAGGAGGGCGTGGAGTACTAGACAAACAAGAGGGAATAGGGATGATTTTTTCCTCACCCCTCCCATCATGTGTGTTTCGCCCATGGACATCCCAGGCAACCAACTGCAGTAAAGAATGTGGTCGTTAATTACAGCTTACTAACTGAAATTGATTTTTTAAATTCTTTTTGTCATTTTAACTTAATTTTTAATTTTCTACAGAAAGTTTCTTTTATCGAGTTAATCTTGAGATTCCCTTTTTCAAATACATGATCATGAAGTTGAATAGTACTGCATCAAAATGTATAAGAGTCTTGTATATTTTGATATACAGTGGTAATAGTTGACTCCCCATAACTCGAACCCTTGCTAACTCAAACCTGCGCTAACTCAAACCAAAATTTATTTCCTCTGGATTTCCAACATATAATAATATTTACTGTAATTTTACCCTCTGTAACTTGAAACCTTGATAACTCGAACCTCCCACTAACTCAAACAATTTTTGTTTCCCTTCAGATCATTTTTATAATCTCAATAACAGCCTTACTTGAACTATCTTTCAAGAGCGTGACAAGCCAAAAAGAGGATTACGTTCGACAGTTTCAAAAATCTAATAATTACTATTTTTAAAAAACCATCTATTCTATGTCTTCTTTGTCTGTCCAGTTCAAATTCAATGTCCAGAATGTCCAGGTATTGTTGCTTCAATACCTTTTTCAAAAATATCAATAAATGTCTTGCTGCCCTTGAGGTGAAGTGTGCATGATACATGTCGTTACATTCCCTCTGCACCCATATGCTTATTTCCTTATTTTCAGTTATATAGTCAACTCACCATAACCCAAACTTTTTTCGATTGCCCTGAAAGGTTCAAGTTATCAGCAGTTGACTATATTGCATCACACCTGAATGACTGTGCTTTTCATAAACATGCGAACTCTTAAGTTCAAAAGCCGCCTTCACAATTGCAATTATCAATCATTATTATGATCACAAGCAACCAACATTGAAACACAGAAACACACAAAATGGATCGAAATCCACCAATCAAAAATCACAAACCATGACCTTTTGAACCCATAAAAGTAAAGTTTTGTTGTCTAAGAGGTCCGTTAAGATGATTGACGGCAGCGAAAAACGCAATCATCAGTTGGCTTTTGAACTTCAGAATTCACATGTTTGTGAAAAGCGCAGCAAACTTACAAAATTTAATGGAAGTGTTGTAGGGTGGTTCACTGAAAAACTTCATTTAAAATAAACAATAGAGGGCTTACCTGAAGCTTCAAAGCACTTCTCATATGGGACTTCTCCACATCAGAAAATGGATATATTCCTGTTATCTTATCAAAATAGTTTAAACAGCCTTGTCCAAGTAATCTTGATTCATTCTCATCCTCGGTAGAGCTAGAATAAGTACTTGATTGGCTGAACTGACTGTCTATTGGCTGATGTTCATGCAAACCAATGATAAATCTGATGCAATGAAGTTTAGTTGATAACTCCTGTCCTATAACAAATGGTTTGTTTTCCAAATAATCTGAAAATGACAGAGCAGAAGTTTGATAAAGCAAGTAGTTATAATACCTTTATTTAGATATCATGAGTTACATGTAGAGTATAATCATTCAAAATTTTGCTGTTTCTGATTGGCTCCAATCCCCCTGGCTACTTCATCATAACCAACTGGCACTTACCATATTATTTTAGAAGATGCAAACAATATGGCATATATCATGATCAATTTGAAGGTATAAATTATGAAATTATGATATACCATAGATAAATCTTGTTTCAGGCATAGCAGCCTAGCTGTTTATTGCTGAGTGAACTAAAAAAGAAAATGGCTTTCACGGCTATCCAAAAACAAAATAGGCCACTTCTGAGTTCCAAAAACCCTCACTTTCAAAATGAGGCCTAGTGCACAGCCTTTCTTGTGAAAATGAGTTTTATTTGCATGAGAATTAAAAATCATCTGCACATCAAAGGCTGAGCACTCAACCTCGTTTTGATACAGAGGCCCGGGGGAACTCGGAAATGGCCTATTTCTAATTAACTGAACAGAAGAAATGCAAGAATACGCAAAATATATCTGTAGTGAAGTTAAAGAATTCATGACACTTTGTACAATGAATCGTGACTTGTTAATCTTGAGTGAACAATAGATCAATTACTAGCTTGATAGGAACTGGAAATATGATCCCTATGGTGTAAGCAAACATGCAAAAATGTGCATCGTGTAAAGCAGATAGTTAGATGTGCTTTCCAATCGGAATAGCGTAAAAGCTACTAAACTGGTAGGATTTTGTGCAGGACGGAATGATTATTTAAACCTAGCTGCTCCGGATTTACGTAAGTAATGCAGGTGTAATAGTGCTTTAAGTTTTCAATCAAATTAGGGTATTTACTAGAAAGGAAACCACATGCATTCCCTACTATATTTTCCCACGTATGATTTAGCTACCAATATGTATAAAAAAACCTTGATTTAGCAATAAACGATGAATGTGATCAGGACTTGAGTGTGTGCGAGTCTCTTAGAGTACTGATAGCCCGAAACCGGCCAGGTCTAGAGATACTCAAGCAGTCGACACTTACCTGACTTAGAAACATTTTGAATGAATAATAAAACAATATTATTGAATTCGGCTTTCATATGATGTGAAGAATTTTACAGATCTCGGAGGGCGTTATCCATCTGGGCCCTCACCCTTGGTGGATAACATCCTTTAAAATGTTTTGAGGCGATTGTCTTCAACATAATGAACAGGCGTCCTATGTATATAGTCTTCAGCTGCTGTCGAACAACGTGAACAATTCTCAGAGGATGTTATCCACCTTGGCCTTCAGCCTCGGTGGAAAACGTAAACATCCTCCTCGATCTGCACAATTCTTCACATCCTACTCAGCTTCAATCAATAATTTCTAATTGAAGACTAGACACAGCTAGGATAAGCTGGAAAACCAAAACGTAGGGACAAGAACTTTACAAATTTCAATCATACCAAAGACAACCCATATTTCCTAACTTTGGTATTGAAAACTGCTGCCCAGAATCCCTTAGATTTTAACTTTAATTCCTCTTTACCTTGGATACGATCTTTCCAGCAATCTGAAAACGAACACTTGTCTCTAAATTCCTTCCACAATTGATAAATGCAATAATCCAAAAACCATTCCGACGTGATACGAAATAAACACTTGCCCGCCATTTTCGTATTTTCGCTTCAGACCCGGGCCTTCCCTTCCAAAACCCTTCCCATCGACCATCGCGTCTTAGTAGTGCACAGGTACACCAATCTAGGAATATGAGCACCCGTACTGAGGAACTGAATGATTTCTAAGGAGCCCATGACTTCAATTGTAGTCATGGGCTCCTGGATTATTCTACTGTGAAATAACAGTTAAAACTGAAGGAAAAGTTTATCAAAGCTGCCGTACACATTTGACAAGCTGTCAGTCAAGTTGAAAAGAAAAGACGTAAGTTTCTCAAAACTTGAAGAAGTGGGGCATTCTCTCCTACAACTGAACCAGTGTGACGAACCAAAGGGGCGAAAGGTCGTCTACTTAAGAGGTTACTTTCGGTACTAAAACAACCACTGATCTCCATCTGAAGGCCGACACCCAAAGCCTAACTCACTAGCAACTACTATATATGACCATGCTATTGTGATCTCTGTAAGATGCCTCGGGATATTTCTACCACATACGAAATCTTACACTACAGAGAAAACCCTGTGAAATGAAAAGAAACTATTGCGCGAACTTATATTTCAAAAAGAGCACAACTCTCCAGTCATTTCAATTTATCTTTATTAACTTTTGTCATAGCTCTACTCAAAAGGACCACAGTTTTAAACGAAAATTTATATTTTAAGGGTTCATTCACCTTTATTTTCCTATTGGTAAAGAAACCTCTGGATATTCATAATATAATGTAATACAAAAGCAATACAAGTTGGCCTTAGAAACAGCACAACAAGAGTTATTCCACTCTGACCAGTTATTTTATCAGGCTGGAGTTTATTGAGTCTACCAAAAATGACTATGTACACCTTCTAGTCTTCTCCGCATTATAAAACAGAGTAAGAAAAGCGATAAACGAAAGCCCTGACCTTAGTAAAAGGTTCGCAACAAAAAAAGTTTCAAAAAAAAAAAATTAGAAAATCACTAAAAAGAGTGGAGGGGACAGGCAACGTACTTGAAAAAGAGGGCAACATTGCAACAACGTCGACTGGCAAACAATAATGAACACTTTATGACTTTATAAAGGCGGCAGTGATTTTTCCATTTATTTATTACGTAATCTTAAAATAATTAAATTATCCCTTTATTTTGGCGTATGAATAATTCGATTCTTATGTCCTTAAAATCTTTAGTTAAGTAGACTTATCAACGTGCATATCCTCCAATCTGTTCTTGAAACTAAACAGAGGAGAATTTGGAAAGAAAATGTAGGGAATATTATCTCTAGTAATCAATTCCTCGTTCTCGTCACCTTTACGTTTGATTAAGAAGTAATATAACAGGGAAAAGTAGGATGCCCGTCGCTATTTGGGGCTAAAGGATTTAAGGGAACGATAGCTGTCGGAACAGCGGAAGACCCAACCTCGTTCACAGGGTGCTCTCCTACCCAGGGACGCGTCGGAGAGGAACTCTGGGAACGAAGTTGCGGAAGATCTCATGTATATTCAGAATCAATACTTTTATAGCCGCCTAAGACTTTCATTCATATAGATTTCTCCCTTGCAAATCCCACGGAATCCCACGGCCCTGAAGCCCTGAAGTTAAAAAAAATAAGACTCAGATATAGCTTCAGTATAACTGGAGCATAAGTAACCAAAATTCTAAACATCTCTGCTCGCGGTAAACTGAACAAAACGTCATAATTCCACTGAAATATAATTTCCCGTAGAATGTTTTGTACACAAGAGTAGGACCAGTTAGAGTTGACCCGAAAGTAACAGACTACATATTGCTCACTCAGAAGAACATAATCGGTCCTCACCCACTGCAATACCTAGACCAATATTCTACTTGATCTTATAGCTAGAAATGGCAATACAGCATATAATAGCGTATATTACAAGTTTCCAGCGCGCCAAGGGTTGTGTTGGAACTCTAACTTTTGAGCGAACGGGGCGAGGGGGAGGGGGAAACCACGGAAGTGGATACTGTTATAGCGTGAAGGGGTGAATTCTTTAAAACATCAGCCACCGAAGATTCGGTGTCACACTATCCACTGCGAGACAACTAAAGGTTTCTTAATAGATTGTAGAAGGGACTCTGCAATTAAGTTATAACAGTAACTTAATAGACAGGTCAGTTGCTATCTGGGATTTTCAAGAATATAAGACTAACAAGAGTGTTGGAGATATTCGAGATAGCATGAAGTCTTCACACTAATGAGCCATAACATCAAAGGAAAATAAGAAAGGCTTGGGTAGGGAGATCCTGTCCGAGATTCCGCCTGACAGTTTCCTCCGCAGGCTCATTGTGTCAATGACTGGCTACACTATCAGCCTCATTTGTGTCATTCGCGTCCAATATAACACGAATCTGCACCATGAACAACTGACTAGTATTATGATATTAAATCCGTGGAGCCAGAAGAAGATTTACTCGAGAGGTTATCCGGGGTTTTATCTCCATCCACTTGGTTGTCACCAGATTCCCCCTCTGATTCCTCCTTCCCCGCCGTTTCCGTGGGAATAGGAAATAAGGTCGAGTTTCCCGCGTAAAACAACTGCTGCTCTCGCTCTTCGCGCGCGAATTCCTCTTCGAGAACCTGAGAAATCAAAGCGAAAGTCACATCTGTCAATGGACAGTTTAAGTATTAAAAATTGCATGTTGCTAAGATTTTATCGTTTTTCGTAATTCCCTTTTACATTCCCAGCCTTAGCATGGGCAAACCGATTGCAGTCGGTCTACTGCCTGCAGGAAAACTTATATTACAGCCTGTTTCAGACGGTCAGTTAATAGAGACCTTTCACCTTTAGATCTAAGGCGAGGACGACTACGAGTACGCCGAGATTTCCTTTTAGCGAGAATGTCGTAGTGGCGGAATCAAGTTATCAAATATTCGAAGTTTTATCATTTTGCGATCGGGAGAGGGATTAACCCGCTCCTTCAACAAAGATAACACTGCTAACTTTTTTGGTTAAAAAAAAGTACAATGAAGCTTTCTGGGGTGTCTATTTTTTGACAATACGCGAAAAATTCAAAGTTCAATCTCGTACAGATAGTCGTTCTAGTATTCGAATCTGAAGGTCTCTAATTACAGGCAAGATAAAGAGCGCAGCAACGAAAATGACCTGATGGTACGAAAGGGAGAGAAGAGAATTCCCGCTCTTTTTCTCTCTCGTTAGGGGTTCTTTCCCGATGCCTCAATAATATTAACGCTGGCGGGAGCGAGTGAGTCTCTCACCTTCTTCCGTGGTCCAAGTTCGGCTTTCCACGCGACCACTTGCGCTGCATGTTTCTCGTCTCTTTCTTTTAACTTAGTCGTTTCGCTCTCCATTAACATGTGACGTTTTTCGTTCTGCAGAAGAAAAAAACGGAGGCCAACGTAATAAGAACAGCGGACTGAGATGACATTATTTACTGACATATTTATCTATCTATCTATCAACAACAACAACAATGTATTTATTTAAAGAAATATAAAGTTTACAATACTTTATGTCCTGCAAATAGCTATAATGCTGATCTAGGTCTTGTCCTGAGGACAAGACTTTAAATAAAGACGTTATTAAATTACATAAGAAAAAAGAAAAGAAAAGAAATACAAAAACATACAGAAAGAAACACCTTTCACATAAATTAAGACTAAAATTACAACTGGAGGTATATACAACATATCAAGTTAACTTCACAAAATATTCTATTAAATAATTAACATTCAAATAATTATCTTCATTACCTATTTACAGCTTTAAGGTTTTCCTTCTGTAGATTTTTAACTCGACTCATTTTAGTTTACGATATAAGGCATTGGTACGTTTTGAGTTTTAAACCGGCATGTGCGAAGCGCCCGCCGACATGACCGGTCATGTCATTATTCATTCATTCATTCATTTATCTATTTATCTAAATAAATGTTGCTCGATTTTGAACGCAAACTGACCTGTAATTGTTGTAACTCCTTTAATGCTGATTCCGATGACATGCGTAGTTCTTCGGCCTCCATTTCCTGTCTAAACAGCATCTTTTCGTACTCTGAGCGCGCTTTCTTACGTTCCAATAACTCAAACTGCAATTATGTACAAATAGAGAGCGTTTAAAGCAGCCACGGGGATTTGTCATAACCTACATTAGAGTGGTTTTCGTTTGAGCGTCGTAAAACCAAAACCAAAGTAATTACTCTGGCCAATCACATAGGACACAGACAATACATTGAACCAATCAAAACTCGAAGTAATTACATGTGGCTGACGCAAAGCGCGTGCGCGTCACAATTGGCTTTGGTTTTACTTCTGATTGGATGAAAAGGTGGCGCGAATCTTTTAAGCCAATCGCATTGTGTAGAAAGTGCAAAACCAATTACTTTTCGACACTCAAATGAAAACCGCTCTAACCTGAGTTAAGGCCCAATTTTATCAGCTTTCATACATTCTCTCATACCTGGTCGCGCCAGAATTTCGTACCAAGCGAAACGAAAATAAGGCCTGATCTCAGGTTTAACCCACATATACAGTCACGGCACTCTCCCTGTCTTTGAAGCTTGCGATAAAGTGTCCCGCCAAAAGGTACGATTAAAACGTTTCGTCAAAATACACTGTTGTTTACCACGGAACTCTGTTTATAACACCAATAATGACGTTTACATCCGGGTTTTTCAGTGTGCACAAAATTGACTCACGACCCTCGACTCCTTGAAAAGAAAGGAATGATTGAATCTCATGTGAAGTTACCTCTTTCATCATTTCCCGCTCAATATCCACTGAAACTCTTTTTTCCATCCTTATAGACTTGCGGTACTGCTGTGACTTAGCCTTGATTTCATCGCGTTGAATCTTGGGAAGCCGTTTGCGCTCAATCTCGTGCCGTCGTTTCATTTCTTCGTCTTTCAGTTTTGTAAGACGATTATGCTGTTCACATTCCTGACGAAAAAAACAAAATCGCCTGGTTAGCAGGACTGTATCAACAGATAACGGAGTGTCTAGGAAAGTAATTATAATGTCTCAAACAATGTACACTAGGATAAAACACAGAGTCGAATGCTTTATAATTGAGAGATCTAGAATCAAGTTAACGACAAACGTGAGATTCATTTTGACAATTTCTAAAAATAAGAAATGAGCAGACAAAAACTGTGCAAACAAATTCTTATGGATGAAACGGGTGTGAAACTACTACTGAATATTGTTTTTGACAAATGAACAGTATACAACAAGTTAAGGGAAAGCTTTCTCCCGCGGTAAAAATTGACGTCTGCCATTTACCGTAAACGTGATCCTAAATTCCTCCAAAACGTTTCAAAGAATGATTGTAAAAGAGAAAGTAAGGAAGCGAAACGAAGATATTTTCATATTAATCGATCCAAACACATCACAGTGCATGATTTCCGTTGCCTTTTTGGACGTTATATACCATCTAAGAGAAGCAATAATGCTTACAGGAATTAAAAGGTAAAGTTCGCAAAATTTCATGGTAACTAGTAATAGTATACCACTTTTCAATCACAACTGGAGACTACGCGAAGGCGTACCAAGAAGCCTGATCATTATGTTGAAGACAATTGCGTCAAAACAATATGTAATAACAGGTTTCTTCTTTTTTAGAAGGAAACGTCAAATGTTGCTTCTTACTTTTTGATGCCTGTTCAACATTTGCGATCTTTGTAAAAAGAAAGTTTCCTTTAGTTGTGTTCTGGCCAGCTGATGTCTCTCGTGTAACTGACGCTGTTCAATCTCCCATCTGTCTCCTTCATGACCTGTAAACAAATAAACAAACAAAGGTAAACAAACAAACTGGGAAGGGCAACTGAACAGTGCATCTCTTTGCCTTGACTGTGTGTCGACAGAAAATGACACGGAATACGTAAGGTGAATAGGCTATTTCCGGGCGGTGGACGGTTTGGGAGAAGGCGCAAAAAATTTTTCTAGCCTCCCTCCCGCCCGCCCTCTCGGTACATTTGAAACCAAGTCCCAAAGTGCCAGTTTAGCACAGCACGACAAGTCTGACTCAGCCTCTCTTGGAGCCTTTTGATCGCAAGTCAAAACCGCAGCCACATCAAATTCCTAATCCATCTCACGCTGAGACTCATTTCAGTCCATAGGTCCAAATTGGAGTAAAATTCGCCTTGATTAAGGGAGCGAAGTTTAAGGGCTAAAACAGTTTTTTTTTTATTTACAGTGCCTTCAAACGCAACCTCATTGGCAGAACTTTTGTACAGTGTTACATATTTCTTTAAAATGTACAAAAAAATTAGGAATTTTTGTGAATTTTTTGCATTGGCCATTATTGGTAGTGAAACGTTTAAACGGGAACCAAGCGTTGGTCTCTATAGTATACTCTATATAGGCCAGGCACTTGCTGCTGGTCCTAACAGTAAATTCAATTATTTTCAGCTTCATAGTTCAGTCTTATAAGAGGACCCCTCTATAAACCACTTAGTCAGTAAAGTTGGCTTCCTCATTGAAGATTAAAATATTAATAATTTCCGCGCTTAGAGGGCGTTCACCGTGGATATTAAGGGTGCATACAAACCTCTCTTGTGGGAGTGTTTATCCTGAAGGAACTGCATTTCTAAGTTGTACATCCGCTCACGATGCAGGTCTATTAATTCCTTACAGAACTTCTCAAACTCAACCCGCTGCATGGCCAGAAACTCATGCTCCTGTTCAGCACGGGAAATAAACGAAGAAATATTTCAATATAGCCACAACTGAGCGGTCTGGCTGTATACCACTAAGTATAATGCATTTTTAAAATGCAATTTAAAGGAGTTAAGAACTAAGAGCGTCTTAGGTGCCTGAGGTCAGCGGTCTTTGGCATGCGCATGCCCAGTAGCTGGCTACATCGATCATGTGATTTATTGGCGCGTTCAGTTTCCTTTCGGGCTAGGTTCTGTCAGCCATTTTCTTCCCCTTCCGCCCTTCCCCTAGGCTTTGTTGGTTTTTCTCCACTAATGTTTTTCAGTGTGACGGGTGCCTGTTTCTTTCCTTTGGTGTGGGGACTCATGGCTGGGTTGCGCTGTTGTGCCAGTCATGGGGGCATTATTTCAATCTAGGGGCTAGCTGCCAATAGTGGAAGCCCCTGGATACTCCAGGCACCCAACCTCCATTTTAGCGACACAGTTGTTAACGAGAAGGATTTTTTGTTTATTTGTTTGTGGTACAGGCAGGGACAGAAACAAACACTCGTGAAACGCCCAAGGAAGCGATGAAAGGCGGCTGTATTGGCAAGCGAAATTCCAGTAATCGATTTTAAGTGAAAGACGGAGAGCCACTATGTGCGGTTGTATTGCCTCTAAATCATCATTTATTATTAATTACTTACTGAAGTAGTTATCATTTCTTGTTGTCGTTTTCATTAAAAAGGGGGAAAGAAAAGCAACTAGTTGAAAATAATATCACTTACTGCTTGGCGTTGTGAGACTTCGAGTTCTTCTTTCCTCTTTCTCCAAGACTCCTTTCTCTGATTTCGCGGTAGTTGATCCATCTTTAAAATCAGAGAGAAAACGTTTTTAACCCTTAAACACCTAATATCAAAATTCAAATTCTTATTTGTTGTCCTTATACGTTTTTAATAGAAGTAGTGGAAAAATTTGTTGAGGTATCAATGAGATTCATCTTCTGTGATCATGCCCTCAATTCTCATGACCACACTGTTTTATTAAGCTTTGATATTGCAGGGAGAAATTTTATGCTGATCACTCTTAGACGTATCGTTATGCTTTCTCTTGTCATTGGTCTGCTCTGCTGGATCCGATATGCAATGAACATTTCTTGAAAAATGAATGTGTAATATTCACTTCTCAAAGCTTTTCAAAGCCGTATAGCTGAAGCAATTTATGTTCTTGAGGTCGTATTTTGTCCCCAAGTTGTAACTACATGTTTTTTTACCAAAATGAACTAGGCTAATGTTACTTAATTCACTTAGTGTAATGGTATTGAACAGTTCACTTGACCTGAAAAGCAAACTACAGTCAACAAACCTCCTTCTTAGCTCCTTTTTGCTCTTCTCTTAGGCTGTCTCTAAAACGTTTAAGTTCTTTCTCCTGCAATAAGAATAGATTTAAGTGGATAAACATTTCGTCCAGAAAACCCATGATGATGAAATTTAGTCTTCTATCTCCGTCCCACAAGCGCACCTGGGTAGAGAGAGACGGTTTTGAGTAACGCTTGCGCTATCCACTGTTTGAAAAACCAAGGCCATGAGGGCTTGCTTGCTGGCTAGTCCAGCAGTTTTAACTACTACACAGAAGGAACTAAACTTCTGAACCTCGTCTCCGAAGCAGTGCCGAAATCCTCGTTCTAAGGCCCCGCCTGTGTAATTTGATTACGCGCCACGATGAGCCAGTTAAAAGAGCCATTGTCGATTTGCCAATCAGATTGAAGAGAAATTCGAAACGCGTTTCCGGTAATGCACTGAGTCCGCTGGGGCCTACACCTTAATCAATGAAAGGATCTCTTTGGCAGGAAGACAACGAGTCCATGTTGATCGTTTTAACTATCGGCTTACGGAAACCATTTTTTACCACAACTTTCATGGTTCCCTTATTATAATGCAGAACCAATCAAAATCCAAGACGTCTTCAAGGCGGGGTCGGGCATTTTTTAAATAGAGGTTCGTCCCTACTTACTTATGATTACACTTTACCCTTTAAAACCATCAAAGTTCTCGCAACCTTTATTTGTAGAGACGCGTTCATTGTGCAATAGTTCTTCTGAGAGACAATCACTTGAATGGTTACATAAGAAAATTTAAACTGCCTTAACATTTTTCCAGACCTGAATCTCACCTGATCTTGTTTCATCTTACGCGATGAGGTTCGTAGATCTGCATTCTGAGTCACTTCGAGTTTTTCGATTTCTTTTTTCTGATTTCTACTTAAATTGTCCAAATCCAAATCGTACTTCCTGTCTAGATCCTGTGAAAGGAAAAATCACAACTGTGGTTTACTTAATTATTGCCAAACGTATTGGTCAACATGGCTGAAAATTGACCTTGAATCGCCTAAAAAAGAATTTGGCCATTGAGCTCACGACTGGTCAATTACGCATATTTCTTTTGGTGTTACCACCCTTCGACCAAAAAACTTACTACCCTCAAGAATTTAACAGTTACTAAAGGAACGCCGTTACGCGATTAAAAATCAGATTTATTACATTGTTCTATGGGACAAACAGCAAATTGTTGTTGCTGGAAATGTCTACATCTGCTTTCATTTACACAATTGGCTTTGGCTCCATTATATCCTAGACGAATTGTAGAACATTTCAGGAGGCCACGAGCCACTCAGAATGTGAGCACAGTTACTGACAAGGTATATCTTCCTTTAACCTTCAATCGGTTAATTGCCAATAGTATAGGCTAATCACGGCAATGGCTGGCATAATTTGGTAGTAGGTGATGACAGATAGGTTTTGGCTGTGGACTTAAACATGGGCAAGGAATAGGAATACTTGTAGGCATCAACAAAAGCGGGTAAAAGATTGTATGCCATACTATGGGACTGCCTGGTACACGAGGCGTTAAGAGATAACTCACTAGGAAAGGGCAAAGCGACTAAATTAGACTGGATATTATACAAAAAGTAAAAGGACAATAATTTAGGCAGGATTAGCTCAGTCGGTAGAGCGCTTGACTGCAGAGCGGGGGGTCGCGGGTTCGATTCCGGGGACCGGACCAATACTCAGGATCTCAAAATAACTGAGAAATGAAGGTACTGCCTTTGTCTTACAAACAACTAGACCTTCACGTGGTTCGGATGACCACGCAAAATAGCGGTCCCGTCTCCAGTAAGAGACGTAAAAGTAGTGTTCTCAATTAGTACTTTTGTGCTAACTACATTGACACTCAAATAAAGTGCTTTTTTTAGGATAACCTATAACAATTCATAGTAAGTACATTGCGTTAAACTGGTCAGTAGCATGTTGTAACCAAGATTAGATCAGTCACCTGTAACTCTTGCTCAAATCGCTGTTCTTGAGATTCCCACTGGCGGCGTATCTTCGCCATAAGCAGCATCCCTTGTTTTTGTTCCTCGCGCTGCAGGATCTTCAATTCACGTAAATTCACTTTTCTGAAATGCAATAATAATAATAATAATAATAATAATAATAATAACAGCATTTATTTAAACACGATTAAAAATTCAGCAAAGCTGAAGTGGTCGTATACAAACAATAAAATTAAACTTCCTAACTAATCACAATAACACATAGAAATTCGACGTATTTACAACAAAAATTCTACACAGTAAATTGTTATAATATATGTGGCTTAAAAATACACTTGAGTGACGTTTTACAAGCGTCAATGTCAAAATACATCGACGCTAGTTGTTTAAAATTTGATCAATTAAATTTTCATTTTGTTCAATCGCGATACGACTCAAACGGACTGAAATGACATGCTTGTTTTTAATTGTTTGGTGACAAGTTGAGTTTTCTTTAACTGGTGTGGGCTTGTACTATAACATAAACCATACCACAGAAAAGAACAGCTTGTTAGGATGAAAAGATCTTTGTTTTTGTTCGTCACGACTCAGGATGCCCCAAATAGTCCAGCTACACTTAAAATTAAAAAGATCTGTTCAGTGCCAATCCAGCGCTACAGGCCAAAGTCGGATTCAGCCACTCCTGGAGCCATTTGAGCACAATTTAAGCCAAAACAGCCCCATCAAAAGCCTATTCAAGCCCACACTGGGACCCATTTAAGCCCTTGGGTCCAAATCAGCCTTAAGTAATTAGACTGTATTGGCCCTGATTAAGGGAGCCAAATTAGAATCAAAAATCGGACTGTGTTTTACTCATTTTTAGAGCTAAAACAGATCTTTCCACCTGATTTAATTATCCTGTAGGTAGAGCTACCAATTACAACCTTATAATTGCACTATAACAGAAACTCATAAGGAGGATGATGCTCGTAAATTTTCATTTTCACAAGTACCAAATTTGGAACCAGAGGACCGGAAAAGATAACTGACCAATCAAAATTCGTAAACGACGTGACGTAAATTTACTCAACGTTCTCGGGAGGGAACCTGCGGGAGCTCAAGCAAAAACGATGGCGACAGCTACAAAAACGTCATTTAAAACGTGTATTCCATCTCGTCAAGTTCGTCTAAAGTCTGTATCGAAGTTCAGGAAAAGAAAAAGACAATCGCTGTATTGTGTTTTCGCCCTCCATAAAAGGGCACTTTCATGTCGTAGTCCGCGCGCAGCGACGACAAAGAAATGTACAAAAAGCCTGATGCTCGTCCAAAGTTGTTTTTCTGACAACAAGGGTCGTTGTTGTTCTTTAACAACGAGGTTTGCAAATATGGTACTTAGCAAAAATGAAAATTGACGAGCATTGAACGCGAGTTACACGCTTCAACCCCTTAAGAGTTTCTGACTGTAACTATTAATTCATCAGTGAATAGCTTTCGATTGATAACAAGATTTAGTAAAATCCAACTAGCGGTCTATTATCAATGCTGTGTTCTGATTGGTTGAGCTACTACTAGGCTATATGTTATAGCCCACTAGTAGCGAAAAGCACCGGCTTTGAAAACCAAAACAATGGCGGCTGAATCGTGTTTTGCTAGCTAAAGTAGTTTTGCCTCGATATTTTAACCAACTAGTTGGATTTTACTAAAATAATTATTCTTCTCGCCCTCATGGCCTCTGAGTGAGTAGCAGGCCGATTGACTCAGAGCCAATTCGAGCTCGAGGAATAATTGTTAAATATACGATACTTTTTTGTTACCTTTGTTGTTGTTCTTTCATCAAAGCATTCCTGTAATCCTCTTGACTCACATCCACAACTCTTGAAGTTGTTTCTGTGACTATCTTGCCATCTTTTTCAAATTTACGAGTTCTTTTCAGTGTTTTGTAACTTTTCTCTTCCTCAGCGCCCTGATAACAAAAGTAAAACAACAATCAGTTAAAAAGAATCTTCTACCGGCACTGGCTGGAGTTAGAACTAAACTTACTAAATATTCATCAAAGTAAAGTTAGGTATGAGAAATGACAGCTGAGTATAATTCGAAATATAATTTAGGCAAGGTTTAACTGGAGACAATTGGATTTTGTAAACCTTGGTGCACTCTGTTGCCAACTACTTGGGTCTTGTGTTGCTAATCCACAAGGAAACCGGTCGTTTCGCCTGCAAGTCGATTCGCCTACATGATCTATTAAAGTTGTTTTAAAGACATTGAAGTTTATACACGTAATGGTGTTGTATAAATAGCAGTAAAGCTTTGAAGCAACTAAGATCGTGTGGGTGAATCGACCTCGGTGTAGGCGAAACGACCTACATTTATAAGGACTAACCCCCACATGACTCGAGAGAAGTCCCTTCCACGCAGTAGCCCAGAATGAGTATATTTTCTTGCTGGGCAAGAAACTTGTAAAGCTTACTTGCAAGAGGTGCTTGCCCAAAGCACGTGCTGGAATTCAAGAACCCCTTGGTCTGAAACAAGGTAATAGTACTTACATCAGTGGTTTCTTTTTTGTTCACAGAAGGACTTGGCGGTTCCTTCTTTATCGCTGGGACGAACACATCACCATTTGGTATGGGCGCTTTTTGGTTTTCATCAAACACTTCATCATTTTTATCCTCGTTTTTATTTTCATCCTTTTTCTCCTCCTTATTTTCCTCGATCTTGTCACTTTTTTCTTCTACTTCGTCCTTATTGCTTGTCACTTCTTCCGATCTCTCCTGTTCTCTTTCTTCCTGAACTTGTGTGCTCGTTTCTTCTTCTTTATTTGGTAGTGTCTGTTCTTGCTCATCATCTTCTAACTGGTCTAAAATATTATCTAGCCGTGTGGAGTACTTATCCTTCTGTACCGGTGCTTCTTCGTTTTTATCCTCTTTTTTATCCTTATTTTCTTTTGATTCCTCTTCAGTTCCAATCACCACTGGCTCTGGTGTCACGTCCTCAGCTGGTTTGTTTTCCAATTCTTCTTCATCCTTTTCCGTATCTTCTCTTACAGCCTCTTTATTAACTTCCTCATTCTCTTCTTCTCCCTTCTTGTCTCCCACTTCCTGAGCTTCATCTCCAGCTTCTTTTATCTCAACAACTCCTTCCTTATTCGTTGTTTCGCTGACCGGCTTCTCCTCTTCGGTTCCTTCCTTTTGTTCCTCATTTTCTTCAGCTTTGCCTTCATCTTCTTTTTTATCCTCTTCAGTACCTCCTACTTGTTCCCCTTCCACATTTCCTTCTCTCCCTTGTTTATTCTCTATCTCGTCCACCTTTTGCTCGGCCTCTTCTACCTTCTGTTCGTCCAAGAGTTCCTTATTCTCCTCGACTTCCCCTTCTTTCATTTCTTCTCCTTTCTGCTGTTCATTCCCTTCTCTCTCTTCCACTTCTTCCCTCCGTTCCTTTTCCTTCCCTTCTCCTTCTTTTTGTTCTTCATCCTCTTTTTTCTCTTCAACTTCTTCTATTTGTTCCTTTTCTTTTATTTCTCCTTCTTTTTGCGGTTCACCCTCTTTTCTCTCATCCAATTCCTCTTTTTGTTCCTTTTCTTTTTCCATTTTCTCCTCTTCTTTTCTTTCTTCTAAATCTTCCTCCTTGTTTTCCTCTTCAGTTTCGGTTGGTTCTTCTGCTTCCTTTTCTTTCTCAATTTCTTTCTCATTCTCTGTCGATTCTTCCACTTCCTTCCCTTCCTCATCTACTTCGTTGCTCCATTCCTCACTCTCGTCCAACGATTCAGTGGATTCTGCAGCCTTCAACTCGTC